TATTTATCAAAAACTCTTCCCCCTTTAAAAGGCAAAGACACCAAGGTTCAGAAAGGCTCAGTGACTTGGTCATTCAGGTAGTTGCTCAGGCAGAAGACGAAGCCCACGTCTGTAGATGGCCCTTGATTTTCCCTCGGCTACACTACCTAGCTGAGCATTCAGTGAGCACTAAGGGACCACCCTAGAGTGAGAGAATGAATCAAGACAGAGCCACCAGGGCTGAGGAGATGGAGAGGTCAAGTAAACCCTGGGGCTTGCAGCCTGCAAGTCTAGCTCAACTGTCCAGCTCTGGGTTCCTTGTGAAACCTCATCTCAGATAAAGTGGAGAGTGAATGAGGACGCTATCTGATGTTGACCTCTGGCCTCCACACACGAAAGCAGGTGCACATGCACCTGTACACACATGTACACGCATACACACACTGCGAGCCTTTTCACTCTGACGGCCCGGTTCCCAAACCAGACACTGAGACGCTAATTCCCCCCATCTCAGTCCCTCTAACAGCCTCGTCAACCCAGGGCCCCCTGAGAAGCTGACAAAAGTCCCAGGTTTCCCTGGCAGGCTTGTCCTGGCGGCTGCCCAGCCGACTCGTGCTAACACGGCCAACACACACAGGAAAAGAGTTCAGAGAGTGGAAAAGCACCGGTGAGCCCCTGAGGGGACAGAAGTCAGTCCTGCTACACTCAGACAGGAATCACCCTGCTCCAAAGTCATCACAGGGCTGGGGAAAGACCCAGGGAAGGGTGGGGAGCAAGCAAAGAGTTCCAAGAACCACCATTTGTAAAATCTCAATGAACCCTGGCTGTTGGGCCAATCAAAAGACACGATTCACACTTCTCCAAGGTGAATCAGCAAACATGATTCACCAAGAAAGCCGGCCCATGCCTTGCTCATCCCAGCAACCCTGACCTGTATTTGGCCTGCATGCAGAGAAGCCCTGCTACTTAAAACCGTCACCTGCACAGAGAGGCAAGAGGGCAGGTGCCATCTTTCCACCATTACAGCAGAGACCTCAGCCAGCCCGTGGGAAAGGAAGGTCTAGCTGAGAATATTAATAGACTCACTGGAGACAGAAATTCAGCAAGGACACGCCCCAGGAAATGAAATTATTTAAAAGTAGGCACAAAGTAAAGTTGGAAGAAGGGAACACTTGGATTTCCAAAGATAGGTCTTCCTCGGCCAGGCACGGGTAGGAGGTGTACCCATGGGGACAGGGTTATTCTAAAATATCTAAAAAATCTAGAAACGTCTATGGGAAAACCTTTTTGTTGTCTGTGGCTTTCTTTCCACCCTTCAGTGTTTTACCCAGGCTTTAATGAACTGTACACACTCAGGCACTTGATTTTTTTGTTTTTGTTTTTTCTTTGTGGGATGGTGATTTGCTTTGATTTTTGACACAGGTCTCACGTGTAATCAGGCTAGACTCAAGCTAGTTATGTGGCCAAGGCTTTCCATCCTCCTGCCTCAGCTTCTCTGCCCCACCTGGCTCCAAACGTGTTTTCACGGGAGTCCAATTCTGGGGGTAGTAAAAATGCATGCCCCTTAGGTCTTATTAGGGGAGGCAACTTTCTTCCCTGTCGTGTTAGCACTGGCACCTCCTGGACCACATGAACTACACCCCCACCCTAAGAAGAGCATTTTGAGAGGTCACGAATTGGCAAGCTTGGTTTTTGTTAATATTTTAATTATACTTTTTATTTATTGTGTGTGTGTACACACTTGCCACATTCTGCATGTGGAAACCAGAGGACAACCCGTGGAAGCTGGTCCCCCTCCTTCTAACACATGGGTTTCAAAAATCAAACCCAGGTTATCAGGCTTGGTGGCAAGTGCCTTTTCCCACTGAACCATTTTGCTGGCCCTCACTTTTAATTTTTGGTTATTTTTGTTGTTGTGAAACAGCATCTTATGTATTCCAGGCTTTGAACTTGCTGTATAGACAAGCCTTGAACTTTTAAATATTTTTTTTTTACTATTTGTGTGTGTGTGTGTGTGTGTGTGTGTGTGTGTGTGCATGCATTGTGTGTACATGCCACAGCACAACATAGGGGATAGTTAGAGAACAACTTTGTGGAGTTGGTTCTTCCTGTCCACCGTTGCTGATGTTCCTGGGATTGAATCCTGGTCACCAAATTGCACAGCAAGAGCCTTTACCCACGGAGCATCTCACTAGCCTGACCCCGGACTTCTGATTTATCTGCCTCTACCTCCCAAGTGCTGGGATCACAGGCATACCCCCCACCACTGCCCTGTTTATATGGTGCCAAAGACAGAACCCAGGACTTCATACATGTGTACTCAGTCACTCTACCAACTGAACTGAATGTCCAGCCTCATATTTTCTTTAATGAGTTGTCATTATTTATAAAATGGGTTCTACAGACAGGAATAATGAGGAAAACTTCATTCAATTTCTAGCATCTTCTTGGGGAGGAGATACAGAAAACCTGGTGTCGGTGCGTGAGCACGTGTGGAAAGCTGGATCTTTACTGCCCCCTACTGACCAACCTGTGGTTTCCAGTCTCCAGCCTGGCCAGCCCAGTCACTCATTTGTCTCTTGACTGCCCCCTGCAGGCATCAACATTGACTCAAGTTTTGCCCATTGGGGCAGTCACAGACCAGGCAATACTCAGAACAGCCACAGAGTGGCAGCACCAGGCTATTAATGAGGCACATCACTGGCCTAGCCAGAGCTGGCCAAAGCTGAGCTTAAGCTGATGCTTTCAGAACCAATCTTTTCATCCTTCCTTGGGTGGTACTCAATTGCTCCTAAAACTCCCTATCAGACATGTTCGAGCCACAACTCAATCCTCTTAGGCCCAGAGGGGAAGCTACTGACTGCATTTGCCCCTCTTCCCAGGATACCCACTCCATAGCTGGTTTCTCCACCTGATACCATCCAACAGACCTCTAGGGAGATGGTTCCTAAGATAGGCAGCTGCAGCACCTTCCTCATTTAGAGACAGATTCATGCTTAATCAAATAAATGTCCACTATGCTTTCTTTGCTCACTCGGGTTAGCCACCTGCTTCTTCCAGCCCTCTGCTCTCACTCTCTCTACAGCCTCCCCAGTAACATCCTGAGTGGAAACATCACTTCAGTCCTTTTGGAAAGGTGTTTTGTATTATGCATGGAGACCCACTTCAACCAAGTTGAATGTTCCTACCATTGACTCCAAAATGCAGGGGAAACCTTACATTAGACAGTCATTGCAGGATTTAAACTCGTGAATAAGAACAATACCCATATCCAGCAATCAGGGAACTTTAGAATCAGCTTTTGCTCTAGCTTCACTTGATGGGTCCATAACTGCACAGCTACTAAAAACAGTGGTGAAGGGGGCTGGAGAGATGGCTCAGTGGTTAAGCACCACATCTTCCAGAGAACCTGAGTTCAGTTCTCAGCACCCAGAATCAGATGGTTCACAATCATCTGTGACTCTACCCCAGGGGGCCCTGGCACCCTGTTCTGGTTTCAATGGGCACCAGCACATTATATGCACACACACAAGCAAATATTAAGACAAACCAACAAAAACAATGATAAGGGCTTGAAAAAAAAATGGCACAGTATGTAAAGGTACCTACTTGCCAACCTTAATGACCTGCATTTAGTCCCCAGGGCCCACATGATAGGAGAGAACCAGTTTCCAAACTCCACAGGTACACTGTGGTGCGCATGCATGCATGCATGCATGCATGCATGCGCGTGCATGCACGCACACATGCACACACACACACACACACAAATATATATATATATATATAAATTTCTACAAAGTTTAGAAACACAGGCTGGAAAGAGGGCTCAGTAGTTAAGAGCACCAGCTACTCTTCCAGAGGACCCGAGTTTGAGTCCCAGCACCCACACAGCAGCTCACATCCATCCACATCTCCAGTTTCAAGGGATCTGACACTTCCTTCTGGCCTCTATGGGACACCAGGCTTGCACATGGTGTAGATTTACACACAGCCCAAACACCCACACACATAATAAAATGATAAATAATTCTGTTTTTCAAGACAAGGTTTCTCTGTATAGCACTGGCTGTCCTGGAACTCAAATTGCAGACCAGGCTGGCCTTGAACTCACAGAGATCCGCCTGCCTCTGCTGCCCTGAGTATTGGGATTAAAGGTGTGCACCACCACTGCTTAACAAAATAATTTAAAAAAAACTATTAGAAAAAAAGCAAGCAAGCAATGATGAAGTCCATCTTTGTAGTGCAAGCCTATAATCCCAGCTACTCATGGGGCAGAGGCAAGGCAGGAGGGCCAAGGAGGGAAGAACATCCTGGCAACCTAACAGGGCCGTCTCATAAGAAAAAACTGAAAAGAGGAGGGCTGAGAATGTAGCTCAGCGATTGTCTAGCTTGTGTGAGGCTCCGAGTTCCATCTCAGCAACCTCCACTCTCCCAAACAATGCCAACCACCAAATGTTTGGAAAATAACAATCTGTAAAAATAACGAAAAGTATAGCCATGAACTCTTTAAAACTTACACAGAAAGCTAGGTGGGGTGGCGCACGCCTTCCATCCCAGCTCTTCAGAGGCACAGGCAGGCAGATTTCTGTGAGTTTGAGGCTAGCCTGGCCTACGGGATGAGTTCTAGGCTAGTCATGCTTACATAATGACCCTGTTTCAAAACAAAGCAAATTTAAAAAACCCACACAGACGTCAGTGGAGACAACAAAGTGTGGCCATCATCTGCACTGGAGCCCTGGGAGTGTGTGGTGACCTTTCCCCATTCCTGCCCAATCTCTTTAATGTGCAAACATCTCTGAGTGCGTGTGCTACCAATTCAGACTCTAGAGACGCTGCAGCCTCGTGCAACCATGATCAAAAGACTCTTGGGAACTTGTGCCTCCAGGAGCCTCAGTAAAACACAGCTTCCAGCTGCGTTCAGTCTTGGACGTCCACAGACACTACTGATGTCATCCCCCCAATGCCTGCAGGAATTCTAGGAGAACCCAGACCCCATCCAGAAGACAGAATTCCATCACTGTGTCTCCGGTGCCACTTTAATGGAGGTTCTCACTACACAGTGAGGAAGGGGGGAAGACAGTGATTATCTCCAGGTGTACACCCCTTCTGCCCCAAGGTCAACAGCCTGAGCTCCCCACAACAGAAACATGCTTTCCTTCCCCTGAGAATCTACTCCTGAGCCGATAAAGGGACACATGTGCCAGAGAATAGGAAAAACCCATCAAGGGAGCCAGGGAGATTTCTGATTCTTTCCAGTGCAAAAAGTAGAACTAGACATGGAGGTGCCCCTCCTAATGGCAACAACAAACCCCAACCATTCCCAGCTGAGGCCACGCCCCTCCCCAGGGAGCCCGAGAGCAGTGTTCATTCCCCTGGGCTGGAGCTCCCAGGTAAGATCAGAAGCCTGCACTGTCATGGAGACAGCCCATTCAACAGACGCAGTCTTCCTCTTGGTCGGCCCCTACTGCTGCAGCTGGACAGCCATAAAGGGCCAACCAGTATGTGTGTGTGGCTGTGGGGTGCAGAAGGGGCCGGAGTGAGCAGCAAAGCAAATCAGATGTATGTTCTGAAGCTGGGTCGACATGGCGGCAGGGACCTGGGCCCTCCATTAATTCTTCTCTGGACGGTTTCTGTTCAGGACTGCTTTGGGGGCAAATTCCAGTTTGTCCTTAAGGCTCACCACCTGAGTGTGGTCCTTGCCTAGCAGCTCATCCAGCTTTCGGTCCTCTCGACGTTCCAAGATGCTCTTCTCCTCCTCCACAGGCTGAGGGTCCTTTCCCCTGATGAACCATTCCAGGTGGTAGCCCACAGCCCCGACCACGAAGGCCACAGGAAAGGTGACATAGGGAGCATAGGTCCGCACCACGGTCCAAAGCACAGGCCACATGACATCTGCAGAGGAGAAGAGAGCACTAGGGAGAACCGAGCATCCCCCGCCCCAGCAGGTGGGGACGGCCCACTGGGCGCTCTGCTTACCTGACAGCCTGGCACTAATCATTGAGCAGCCACCCCACAGAGCAGCAAGCAGCCCCTGTGCTTTGTGGGACAGCTGGGTCCTGAAATACTCTAGGAAGTTGTGAAGAGTGGACGGTTACGGAAGGAGGTAAAACCTCCACGAACTATGCTGCATTCCTGTACGCAGGAGTTCCCCGCGAGGAACCTCTGAGTGTCACCTAATGGAGCTTCAAACCTGGTGTGACCTCAGGTCCCCCCTCCAGTCTTTCAACATTTCAGGAAGGGAAAAGAAGTCTGTGGTGCGCATGCATGCATGCATGCATCAAACCTGGTGTGACCTCAGGTCCCCCCTCCAGTCTTTCAACATTTCAGGAAGGGAAAAGAAGTCTTTTCTCTGCTCTGTGAAACTTCACACGCACACACACTCTGAATTCTGACTCTCTGATAATGAGCAGTTCCTTTTCTTTGGGTAAAGTACCAGGGACTTATTTAAACAGCCCAAAACTATGATCCATTACCTAACTACCCTGGACTAAATATAGCTAAGGGTTTTAAGCCTATTCTGGACTGGGCTTTTCTAACAATGACAGTAACCTGTAGTTAACAAATCCTGGTCAAAACACCCTCAAAACACACTATTGTCAACCACACTCACATCCTCACACTTGCACAGAAAGCGCCTGAAAATACCGCAAGTGAATACAGTACTCCAGATGCCCTAGAACCCTAACACTTGAAAAGTCCCTGTGGAAAACACTGTGAAATAAAAATAACAAAAATTGTGGAGCTGCCCCCAGGGCCTTCTGCAATGAAATACCAAAGTAATATACAAACCCACTCATTCAAATGGCCACTTAGTCGCAAACGATTACCACTATTAAATGACTATTTATACCATTATTTAAGTACTGTTACAATCGTAAAAGGCCATTGGCAATGAGCTAATGATGATAATAATCACCATCGACTGAGCACTAATTCCAAGCTGGGCCTTGAGCTAAGCACTTCACACATCCAATGACCTCTCATCCTCAAAGTCACTCCTTAGTCACCAGCATTAGGACACTTGTGCTTACTGCTCCAACACCGCTGTCTCTCTGCTCTAGGGTGAGACATCCAAACCTCACGGAGGATTCCATGGCTCTCCCTGTCTCCCTTTGGTTCTGATTCTCTTTGGAGGGACTGGAGGTCTGGTGGGCCTGAGACTACACATGGACCGAACTGCAGCAGACTCAGGCTTCTCTTCCTGGTCCTTCGACCTGACACCAGGCCCTGTACACCACAGTAGCCCCCTGGTCATCACCTGGCCTTCACAATACCTCTATGATGTAGGAATTACTTGCCCAGATTCCTGGCTAAGGCCACAGTGGCTCAAAGACACTATGCTAGCTTGCCAAAATCACTACAAGCAGCAGGCCCACTGGTTTTGAGGCCAAGCCTGGGCAGATGTATGTGTATGGTGTCTGTTCAAACCATAGATGTAGGCAGTGTCTCCTGCAGCTCCTCATTAGCTTAGCTTTTCATTACATTGAAAGACTTCCTTTCTTGTGCGTTCTAAGGTTATACTAAGAGATTTTCAAAATCCTACAATGTACACATTAAGAAAGAGAGGAGCCCCCAAAGAACACCAAATCCAATACTTCTCCATTCTATTTTCTGCCTTTTTAAGTTTTTATTTTTAAGACAGGTTCTCATGTCATCCAGCCTGGCCTCAAACCCTCAATGTAGTTGAGGATGACTTCTAACTGCTGATCCTCCTCTTTCCACTTCCCACGTGTTTATGATTACAGGTGCAAGTTCTTCAGAGTATCCCTAAATAGCGACTCTCCATTCAATGTTCCAATTTGTCTTAAGTACCAGTCTATAACTACTATTCTCCTACATATATGGTCCTGTTTGTATTCCAGTCATCCACATATCCAGCACAACCATTTTCTCTGTGATAGGCATTGTGTGAGCGTACCCTACTTGTCTACATCTCTCAAAACTCCTTGAAGCTCCAGGAGGTTAAGGACCAAGGATGTCCGGATCGTCCTATGCGCTATGTCTCTTCCCACCCCCCTGCTAACCTGCCTGGCAAAGAGCTCCAAAGAAAGTTGTTGATCGACTGAACCACGGGCAGCATAAACAAGTCGCTAACGCAAGACTTAAAGCAGTCTTCCAGCCACAATCACAAAGGAGCAGGAATACCATCACAAGCAGCTACACTTCGTGAAGTCATCCCTAGGGGATCAAAACCTAAGTAGCAGGAGCGTCTCGCAAATGCTGACGCCTGTTTCCAGCCCAGCATGCAGGGGAGCCTGCCAAAGAGTCCAGGTACGGGTCAACTGGGCCGCCCGGAAACCTGTCCTTGGGCTGGTCCCACCGGAAACGACACTCCAAATTCGAGAACAGTCGGAAGAGGTCCAAGAAGGTGGAAGAACCAGCCTTGACAGCTACCCCTGTCAGGTCCGGGGATGAGAGCGCCAGAGGTCAGGGTCATCAGCTCCCGGTCTCCTGTCCCGTTACACCACACGCGTGGCCTCGTCACCCTCTGGCCTGCAGGTGCCTGAGGCGGACAAGCTCTGACGGCGGCAGCCCACACTCGGCCACCTAGAGCTGGCCGGAGCCGGGACGGCCACGGAGACTACGCCTCCCTCGACGAGGAGGTCATGGCCAGGAGCCGTCCCCGTGCGAGTCGTGTCGGGCGATCCAGGGAAGAGGGGCGCCCTCGGCCCTAGGCACTCACCTGCGGCCCAGCCGGCACGCCCCGGACCGGCCCCGCGCTGCGCCCGCTAGCCGGGAGCAACACGGACGTCGCTGCTCCCAGGGGCCCGTGGGGCGTCGCCCGAGGCCCCGCCCACTGGCGTCCGGGCGCTCTCGGAGAGCGGCGATTGGCTGAGCTCCGGTCAAGCGACAAGAGGAAGGAAGCCAGGCATCCGCCTCTCTCTTGGGATGAACGGAGGTGGATGTAGCGCCCCCTGGCGGTTGGAGGCTCCCCAAAGCGACGTTGCCGCCGTGCTTTTCTAGCGGAGAAAAGTGAAGTCACGTATTCATTGATCGCACTGAAGTTCATTAGGCATCTTCTGAGACCTAGGTCGAAACAGAAAACCCAACCCCTGACCTCCAGAGAGGATAATCTAGTGCTTTAAAACCTCTTCCGGTCTGTGCTTTCAGGCTGTGTGTCTTTAGGAACGTTATTAATTAATCTGTCTGAGCCTCATCTGCATAGCATTAATACCACCCATATTGGCAAGGATGTTGTGAGGGTTAGATAATATGACGTATGTAAGTACTGTGCCAGGCATACCAAAATCAGGGAACTAGATGGTAGCTATGGTGTGTCTACAAATAGCTGAAAGATAGTGAAGCATTTATAGAAGACCCTCTGATACAAGCATCCGCTCTTCTCCATGTTTCCACTCTCCCTAAACAGACATATAATTTATCACATACAGGAAAAGCCTCATACCCAAGCTCTTTAGTGCTGCAACATGGTCTTGCCTTCCCAACCTCCCGGCAACCGATCTCAATCTGACAAGCCTCCTTACTAGTAATACATGCTAAAAACAAATCATCTTTCTGAGCCTGTGCCTTTCCATGTTCTTTCATCTACCTGGAATGGTCTACTCACTTTCCCTTAACAAGTCAGCTGTGAGTCATTTTTCAAGGTCATGGGTGCTTCCATAGGAAGTTTCTACACTGAATTGTCTTTATAGGTTCTTCCCATTTTATATCAAAAAGCCCAAAGCTAAGCCTTGAGAGTGAAGATGGGAAGAAAAAAGCTGCCAGAAATTAGCAACTGTAATTAGCAGAACTTGATTACTTGTGCACTGAAAAAGAAGAGAAGAGATGAGGTCAGAATTGTCTAGAACACAGGCTGGCGTTTAGTCAGCCATTCTACATGCTAGACACTGGAGATACAAGATAGACTGCCCTCGGGAGTTTTCTGCCTGAAGAGGAAGCAGGTAGGCCCACAAAAATGTCAGCAATCTGGGATTAAAGGCGTGCAAAAAAAATCCCAGCACTTGGGAGGCAGAGGCAGGCGGATCTCTGTGAGTTCGAGACCAGCCTGGACTACCAAGTGAGTCCCAGGAAAGGCGCAAAGCTACACAGAGAAACCCTGTCTCGAAAAACCAAAAAAAAAAAAAATGTCAGCAATCTAAGAAGTGCCGTAACAGAGGGCACCATCAGCCCTGCAAAGAAGTCAGTGGGCACTCCCTGGAAAGACAGAGCCTCAGACAGAGCCTCAGGCTGTATCTTAACAATGAATAGAAGCTCCCTCCAGCAGACCTGAGGAAGCACAGAGCCCCAACTTAAGATGAAATCACAGCACTTGGGAGGTCACGAGGCTCAAGGTCAACCTTGGCTATATACCAAGAGTCTGTATCAACGGGGGTAGGGGGAAGCTGGGCATAGTCGTGCATGCCTTCAGTTCTAGCACGCCAGAGGCAGAAGCAGGTGGATCTCTTTGAGTTTGAAGCCAGCCTGGTCTACTTAGTACTTCCAGATCACCCAGAACTACATGCTGAGATGCTGTCTAAAAAATAAAAATTAAAAAAAAAATCCCTAACTTTGAAATTAGTCGTGGATTCAAATCTTGACTCTGTGGCCTGTTAATCTGAAAAAAAGATACAATCCTTAAAAAAGGATTTTCATTGTGTGTATGTATATGGGGGCTGTGGTATGTGCACATGAGCACAGTCACCTGTAGAGGTCAGAAGAGGGTATCAGATCCCCCTGGAGCTGAGGATACAGGACGTTGTGAGCTGTCAGACATGGGTGCTGGGAACCCAACTTGGATCATCTGCTAAAGTGCTATGTTCTCTAACCACTGAGCACCTCTATAGCCTTATTTGTATTTTTTTTTTAAAGACACTAAGAAGATACCCTTGGGCTAGCCAGATGGCTCAGCAGATAAAGGTATTTGCTGCTAAGCTGACGGCCTGAGTTTAATTCTCAGGAGCCACGTAGCAGAAGGAGAAGATCAACTCCTGAAAGTCGTCCTCTGACCTCCCCACAGAGTTGTGGCATGTGGGATGTGACTCCCCCTCACACACTCACATAAATAAAAGCAATTAAAAGAAAACTTTAAGACATCCTCTGGGGTTGTTGTTTTAAACCATCTTAATGTGCAGAAAGCACCATAGTTCTTGGCATCTCCAGGTAAGTGTTGGTAGTGCTTCTTGACATGTTAAGTATTCCCCAGATTCATGAATCTTCCCGTGATGTTCACTCGGGGCATTCCTTCTTCATTAACAGAAAAATCTGTGTAATATCTTCAAGTTTGCTCTTTCCATCACTCCCCAAATCGATCCTACAGTATTATGTTTCCTAACTACCCCTCAAAATCAACACCATTACCTCTTACCTGGACATGAGCACAGTTACCTGTAGAGGTCAGAAGAGGGTATCAGATCCCCCTGGAGCTGAGGATACAGGTCATTGTGAGCTGTCAGACATGGGTGCTGGGAACCCAACTTGGATGATCTGCTAAAGTGCTATGTTCTCTTTATTATTATATTAGCAACTCCTCACCCTCCCACCACCCCTCCACTCTGTGTCTATTCCTTTGGCCAAAGGATCATTGACAAACTTAAATAAAACACTGGAATCTATGGGTTAGCCCATGGATCCCTTTGGCCAAGTCATCCAACCCTGTCCTGATCTGTCATCTTGCTGTAGCTTGCTTCTCCAGTCATTCCCAACACAGTCATCCTTCCAAGCCTCGGCCCCACGCTGGTCCCTGGCCTGAGGGAGTGGCCTCCTTTTCCATTTCTCCTATGCAAAATTCCAAGGCATCCTGCAAGACAGTTCCCAAGCTTTCCTGAACTCCCTGTGCTTCAGACGGATATTTGTCCCTGCTGAAAGTTACATTGAAATCTAATTACCGTTGTTTGTTCTTGCTGAAAAAAAAAAAAAAACCGTTGAAATCTAATTACCATTGTAACCATGCAAAGAGGCCTGAGCATCTTTAATAAGTGACTAGGCCACAAGGACTCCAAGTCAATAGGTGAGAATGCAAAAGGGTGTTTTGTTTGTCTCCCTCACACCCTTTTCTTCCTCTTGCTTTCCATAAAGGGGGCGTGTGTGGATTCAGCAAGAAGGCCTTTGCCACCAATGCATGCTGGTTTGTTGTTTGTTTTGAGAATAGGTGGATCTCAAACAATCCAGATTGGCCTTGAACTTCTGATGCCCCAGCCTCCAGCTGGAGTGACAGACATGTGCTGGTATCTGTTTGTGTTTGTTGCTTCTTTTGAGACAATTTTTTTGTTTTTTTAATTTTATTGAAAACTGTGGGTGTTTTGCCTACATGTACATGAGTGTACCACATGCATGCCTGGTGCCCAAGAAGGTCAGAAGAGGGTGTCGGGTCTCCTGGACCTGGAGTTCCAGTTATGTATGAGTGGTCATGTGGGTGCTGGGAACCTAACTTGGCTCCTCTAAAAGAGCAGCCAGTGCTCTTAACAGCTGAGCCATCTCTTCAGACCCCTTTTGAGTCAGTCTTGCTATGTGGCCTTGAACTCACTACAATCTTATCTCAGCCTCTAAAGTGCTGGAATTATAACCATGCCTCATCACATTCAGTTGTTATTATTATTATTTTATTGTATTTGTGGTGGTGTTTTTTTTATATTTGTTATTTTATGTGTATGAGTCTTTTGCCTGCTTGGCTGTATGTGCACCTTGTGCATGCCTGGTGCCTAAGGAAGTCAGAAGAGGGCATCAAACTCCCTGAAACAGAGAGTTGGGCATCAAACTCCCTGAAACAGAGAGTTGTGAACTGCCATGTGGATGCTGGGAGTCGAATCCCAATTCTCTCCAAGAGCAACAAGTCCCCTTAACTACTGAATCAACTCTGCAGCCCACCCAGTTATTTATTGTTGAGACAGGAAATGATATGTTAACTAGGCTGGCCCCAAGTAAGGCTCAAATGGTCCACCTGTCCAGACTCCCAAGTAGGTGGGGTTACAGGTACACAGTATTGTACCCTGCTTTAGGCATTTTGTTTTAGTATTTTTTGTTTTGCTTTAAGGCAGTCTCGCTGGG